CAAACCACATGGGATGATGATATGATGATGATGTTGTAGTTGTTGATCATAATGATGAAACAAACGAGTAAAATTGTTGAAATTCTTGAAATTCCACTCAGTCTTCACTCTTTTTTAGTCTTTTTGATGTATACCATGATGATGATGATGATGATGATGATGATGATGATGACGATTATGATGATGTTATTGCACTTGATTGTACATCTAATCCCCCCTCCCCCTCCCTCCCAAAAAAAATAAAATTATAAGAATTATTATTTGTGTCAGTTTGGCGTGAGCTCTCAGCACAATGTGTGACCAATTTTAACACATCTATACGCTCAGCCAGGACCAAGACGAAGCAAACTAGAGTAACTAGATAGTTCTTCTTTTTCTGAGCTTTGGCCCTTTCCATCTATTTATATTATTGTCCAGTGTTGCCATTCTTAGTTTTTTACCACTAAATTTAGTGTTTTTTCGGTCGATTTAGTTTTTTAGTTTTTTTGCAGCACATTTAGTGGTTTTTGTTTTGATTTGTATTACTTACAACAATCAGATAAAATTGATTAAATAATTTTGTCGTTCTTTTGTTAAACGTTATAAACAAAAAATAAATAAATAAATAAATAAATAAATAAATAGATGCGAAAATGATGACTATAGTCCAAGAACAGTCTAAAATCTGGCCTGTCTCAAGATTATCAAGAATCATAGATGTACAATAGGCCTATATATAAGTGGCGTCGGTAGCCTTGTGGTTAGGCTACCGGACTCATAATCGTGAGATTGCAGGTTCGGGGGTTGGAGCCTCAGCTCGGTCCGACATTGTGTCCTTGGGAAAGGCACTTTGCACGAACTTCCCACTTGGCTCGGTCCTATCGGAGACGGACGTTAAACTAGGAGGTCCCGCCCCTTAAATAACCTAATAGTGTTGATAGGGGCGTTAAACCCATACCATTTAGGCCTATATATTATGAATATGTTTGACTGGTCAGAAATAAAGAACCAGCTATTACAGTAAAAAAAAAAAAAGGAATAAATATGTAATATAAGGCAGATAAAAATTTTTAACGTTTTTTTCCGTCCCATTTAGTGGATTTTTCCCCAAAATTTAGTAGTCTCTTAAAAATCTGGATGGCAACACTGTTATTGTCTATTACGAAACATAATAGTGAACGCTTTGTTGCTATGGCGTCATCACTCAAATTTTTTTTCTCAGATACTATGTTCCTGAAGAACATCTGATAAAACATGATGAACCCTATCCAAATCTATCTCAAGTATATTTTTTCTGACAGTTATGTGATTAGATGAAGATGCTGATGATGATAACAGTTATGTGATTAGATGAAGATGCTGATGATGATAACAGTTATGGGATTAGATGAAGATGCTGATGATGATAACAGTTATGGGATTAGATGAAGATGCTGATGATGATGACAGTTATGTGATTAGATGAAGATGCTGATGATGATAACAGTTATGTGATTAGATGAAGATGCTGATGATGATGACAGTTATGTGATTAGATGAAGATGCTGATGATGATAACAGTTATGTGATTAGATGAAGATGCTGATGATGATAACAGTTATGGGATTAGATGAAGATGCTGATGATGATGACAGTTATGTGATTAGATGAAGACATCTCTGGCAAAAGAAGCAATCTGACAAGACAAGACAATCGCGCCTCACCTGGCCATAAAGCGGGTCCCAGAACTGGTTTGGATGAACAAGTCCATAGATCACTTTCTCTCCTTCTGCTTGAAATGTGTCTGAAAATTATGGTTATTTGGTGAGATGGTACAGGTTTAGCGCCCCTATCAACACTGTTGGGTTATTTACGACGACTTCTTCATCTAATCATTTTTTAGCAATTGCCGAAAACAGGTCTCTTTTATCGGGATTTCATTCATTAGACGAAGAACTATCAAAATAGATTCATTTGCTTCATTTAATGACCAATTTAGTTGACATTTTTGTCATTTTTAGATTTTACACCAATAAAAAAGGCCCCGGCATAGTCGGTTTACCCCCTTGGAGATAAACAGTTACGCAAAAATTTGTGCCATACGAAAACTTACTGAACATCCTGTCCCAGACAATGAGGGTCCCCCCCATAGTTTTGTCGATGCAGTAAGGGTTACGACCGTGGTGGCTGGCTGTGTTCCCATCGCGAGCCTTCCTTTACGACGACTTCGACAAAAATTATTTTTTAACAATTGCCGAAAACAGGTCTGTTTTATCGGGATTTCATTCATTAGACGAAGAACTATCAAAATAGATTCATTTGTTTCATTTAATGACCAATTTAGTTGACATTTTTGTCATTTTTAGATTTTACACCAATAAAAAAGGTCCCGGCATAGTCGGTTTACCCCCTTGGAGATAAACAGTAACGCAAAAATTTGTGTCGTGTGAAAACTTACTGAACATCCTGTCCCAGACAATGAGGGTCCCACCATAATTCTTGTCGATGCAGTAAGGGTTACGACCGTGGTGTACACGGTGGTGGCTGGCTGTATTCAGGATGTACTCCAGCGGACCAATGGAGTGGACCACCTGTATGATAGATGGATGGATGGATGGATAGATACGCACACACGCACACATGCAGGTACACACGCACACACGCCCGCCTGCATGCACTTGTTCTGCGGTATTTACTGCGATCGTATAAGTGTGCAGCAATCATAAGATTGCACTGCGCGTTTAAATGATCATATAACTGCGCGGCAAACTAAAGATTGTATTAATATTACATATTTAAAAAATAATTTTTAAATATCTTTTTATTCACTTCCATCTTTATTCTTTTACTCACATCAAGTAACATTCAAATATATTTTCAAGTGTTAAAATATGAAAAAAAAAAAAAATTAAATTAAAAATTATTACATATTTCAAAAATGATTTTTAAATATCTTTTTATTCACTTCCATCTTTATTCTTTTACTCACATCAAGGAACATTCGAATATATTTTCAAGTGTTAAAATATGAAAATTAAAAAAAATTAAAATTAACAGTATTTTTGGGGGTTTGCTAAATGCAAGACAAATGAACAAGCTTTAAGATGATGATATTAATAACTCTATAATCCCAAAAATTGGCAAGCGCCTGATTCCCCCACATCATGACACATATGTTTTACCCACAAAATAAATGTGAGGCAGCGTGGTGGAATCAGGCTCTTGTCAATTTTTGGGAATGTAGAGTTATTGCTATCATCTTAAAGCTTGTTCACTTGTCTTTATTTGGATGAAAAAAATATCCATCTATATTGAATACAAGTCAAGATATTTGCGAATGAAGGCGATGGGGGTCACCTATTTTCAGAGGTAAAATTAGTGAGAAATGGCCGACAAAGATTAGTTATTTCCTTAGCTTAAGAGTCATTGGTAACTGAAAATTTACATTTTTAGTGCCTTTAATCGACGTTTTTCAGAAAAATCCACACAGAAATGAGTTCTTTAAAGGGCATGAAAGATGTTGAGCCCAAAAAAATTTTTTTATAAAAATTCACAAACCTGCCAAAAAAAATCAAGTTTCTTCACTTTGATTATTTTGACGAGAGCCTGATTCCACCACGCTGTCTCACAAATAATGAATGAATAAATTTCGCTTTTACATGTATAATGTATTTCCACTAATAAAGTACCATAATACCTTTGACAATACTGCAGTGGGATTTGGAGAGAAAAAAAACAACAACAAAAAAATGCAGCTTTATCAACGCTTCAAAGCGCGAGGTCACCATTCATGCTATGCGAATACCAGGTCGCGACCCCAGTGCTTTCTTGCCGTATCTCCATTTTCTTTCAACAGTGAAACTATGAATTCTTCTAAAGCTCACTCTTTGTTACGAACTGTTTTCACAGTTATTAAAAATGGAGATAAGACAAGAAAGCACTGAGGTCGCGATGTGCCAATCCTTTTTTTTATACATCACGTAAGTCAATAAAAAACATTCGCTATTTAAAATTCATAATTGACAGCACTGTTCATTCATCCAGTGATTGTAAAACCACGTGTTGTGGTCACAGCTGGCACAGAGCAGGGTGTGGCCGGGTGGTAAAACATTGTTGTAAGAGAGAGGTGACAGTTTTTGTTTAGTTGTAGCAATGATAGTAAATAACAAGATGGGCCACTCATTACTATCATTGGTTAAGCCAATGATAGTAAATAACAAGATGGGCCACTCAGCCAAAAAAGTGTCCGCAGGAAGTATGCTCTTTGCTTCAGATGGCGCTGCAGTCTGTTTTGAAGCTCTCTTTCGTTTTTCCAGAAGAAGAATAGGAATAGCG